TTTTATATATATATATATATATATATATAAAATTCTATAGGTTTTTCATGATTCCAGCTACTTGTTAATTTAAAGTCATATGTAGTCTAGACTGTGAATTGATATTAATGGCTTTTGTCCCGTTACCACAAAAAACATGTTCCAAGCTTTGGGGCTGTAGATGCACAGAGTGGAGATAAAATCCCATTATTCTATCAGATAAGAGTGACTCAACAGTTGGTTGTATATGGTGTCAACTAGATGTCTTCCCTCTATCGTTTCAAAATGAGGGATGGTATGCACAGATAACTCTCGTATAGCTTTGTGGTAAGAGTCTAAACCAAAGAAATATTTAAGTTACATTCTTTTATTTGAAAAACAAACCTCTTCACACAGATACAGTTGCTTTGGATTTCAAGCTTATCTCTCAACATTCAACAACAGTGGATAAAACTCAGCTTCACAAATAAAGATATATATCTATATTCACTTAAAAAAGATGTTCTTAAAAGCTTTGCTTACTGCAATAAAATATTTCCAGAGTACAGACTTCAGCTTAGGTGAATGTAGGTGTTTATAAATATGAATAGAGATTTTTTTTTAACATTTTGAACATTTGCTGTTTATGCAAAAGTTATATAATATAATATAATATGGAGAATATAAGCTGTTATGGGAAACTGCATTTAAAAATAATTTATTTCCCTTAACTGTATTGTTCAAGCTAACTTTGTTTCTATTGTTTTGTTGTGCACTTTTCAGGAAGGGCACGGGAATATGAAAGAGGGATGTGTGCCCTGTAAATGCAATAATGTTGGTTCCAAATCAGATCAATGTAATTTTGTAACTGGTTACTGCATTTGTCAACCTGGCATCTTTGGAGTCCACTGTGACAGGTGTTTGGATGGATTCTATAGTTTTTCCAGATCAGGATGCAAAGGTGTGGAACATGTGTGTGTGTATGTATGTGTGTATATATATATTAAAGTTATTGACTTTATGACTAATTTGATGGCTTAAGTAAAACTTATTCCTTGAAGTAGGCTTTCATCTTCACCAGTGGTCTGTTTTAATAACTTCTTGTTTCTCATCCTTGCTAATCAATTACCTTCCCACAACTGGTTACAGATAGTGAAAGATGACAGTGTGAGATACTGTGAGCTTAAGCACCCAATTCTACTTTTCTTAAACAGGTTAGGCATGGTGAATCCAGATTAAGACTGGTAAACAGTCTATCCCTTCCATTTTGAAGGCTGTACTTCCATAGATACTGCAAAACCCAAAATACATCTTAAATTCTACATTAATACATAACTTGGTGTTATTATTTATATTATCCTTCTTGCTGCATTTATCCAGGCATGATTTTTATTGTTTACATAACTGAAGTCATAGAATTTAAAATGCAGTTTCTATGTTTTCTATTATAAATACATGCGTGTATATATTTTTGTGATTTTAGGGTGCACGCACTAGTTGATTTACGATTACAAACACCTTCATGCACCTGTATTTTTTTTGTTATAAAGAAGCAAGTAGCCCCCTTCCAAAAACTTGGCCTTTAGTTATTAATGATGCTTATGTTGCATGTTGTGCTTCCTATAATAAAAAAGCAAACTTCACAGGAAAATTATATCTTTACTCCAGCTGATGATGGAAGTAACTTTTACTTCACAGTAACAACAAATGTTTGATATAGTTGTAAGAACACTTTAAATTTTTTAGTATGAAACTTTGTGTTTTTATTGTTTGAATACATTAAATTTAAAAAAACTTCACAGACAAAAACTTTTAGAGGCATCAATCTTGTATAACATCTTAAACAGTAACCAATATTGTTGTGTCAATAACATGCATTTAGTCTTTTGCCAATATTAAACATTCTATAAGCATTTATACATATTGAGAAAAAACTATCCATAACATATAAAATAATTTCTTTTGTGCTTGAAAATTAGAAAAATATATCTTGAATATATCTTGGAAAGTACAACATTTCACATACCTGCTAAACTCTTTACTTCAATTGTTTCATGGCCTTGATAATCTAGAATTGTTTGCTTTCTCTAACTTGAAGAGTGTGGGTGTGACAAAAATGGATCAGAAAATCCCCGATGTGATGAAATAGGAGGAAATTGTCATTGTAAACCTCATGTGATTGGCAGAGCTTGTGATAAATGTCAGGTATGTGATAGACATGCTATCAAATGTAATTAGTGAAATTCATGTGGAAAAAATAAAATATTGTTGTTTTTTGACATTGATGAAGTTTGCATCTTATCTTTTATTATGTTATTGTTATTTACAATATACAAGTAACGGATTTCATTATGTTATTGTTATTTACAATATACAAGTAACGGATTTTATTATGTTATTGTTATTTACAATATACAAGTAACGGATTTTATTATGTTATTGTTATTTAAGTTCATCCTATTTTATACTAAAATAATTTCTTTGTCCCTCGCAAATGCTTTTGTCTCTAACACACTTTGTGTCGAGTTGAGCTTGATTGGCACTAGTGTAGACCTGAACAAAGCTGACTAAACATTGTTACTGTTAAATTTCAAACCTTTACTATCGCTTCACTCTCACCTCATGACAACACAACAGTAGGATTATCACCAGAATAGTACGCACATGTTTGTGGTTATAAACATGATTTAGAAACGGACATTATTATTTTTTATTAAACAAAATGGTAAAGTGACTTGAGGTGTCTAGTTATACATTAGAAAAATGTTTAATAGGTCTAGAAAGTTATTGAGACATAATTAGTCCTCTTTTCTTTGGTTGAATTGATGATTAAGTGTGAAACACTTAAGAAACTGTCTGGCATTACCAAATTAATATTTTCAAGAATTTGTTTTATAATGCATTCAAATTAATTTTTTTTGTCTTGGTTATTTTGTTGTTTTCTTTAGCCTGGCTACTGGAACATAAAATCTGGTAAAGGGTGTCAAGTGTGTAACTGTAATAGCATTGCCACTATCTCCTCTGAGTGTGATATCACGAGTGGTCAGTGTAACTGTAAACCAGGAGTTGGTGGTCAACAGTGTGACCATTGTCTTCCTGGTCACTATGGGCTCACTTCTGGAGGATGTAAAAGTAAGAGCTTGTTAAATGTTAAAACCTTGTTTCTCCAACTTCTATAATAACATATATCAATAATAGCTAGTAGTTACCTTGTAAATAGAGACCATATTTTGTTGGTATGCATGTAATTCAAAATATTTTTAAAAATGTACTTTATTTTCATAATTGACAAGAATACTGAACATCTGAATAATTACTGAAAAGTAATAGCCTGATATTTATATCTTTTATTCTTTATGCAGGTTTGATAACATGTATAGAGATCAAAAATTTAAAATAGTGTATATTAGCTTTAATTTTTCATGGATTAGTTTGAAATTTTTTCAAACTTTTTCTTCCCACAATTCTTAAAAATCACTATTTGTTTTAGAATGTGATCCATGTGACCTCCCAGGACATATGTGTGATCCTGGAAATGGGCGTTGTGTGTGTCCTCCCAATACAGTTGGTGATCTGTGCCAGTTCTGTGATTCAGGTTCTTGGGGTTATGATCCCATTTTTGGATGTAAGGTACGCATAATGCTTTAACTTGCATGTATTATATTTGATTTCTAAACAGTAAAATTGTCATTGTGAACATGTCTGTTAACAGTTAGTTTTTACTAGGCACTTTGAAATTAATCAGTCCTTTATGTGTTTTGCAGAATACCTTTACACCACCATTTCCTAAACTTTTGTCATCCAAAGTCCCCCCCCCTAAATGAATATGGTTTCTTGCATGCCCCCCTCTTTTTTTAAATGAGTGAAAGAGTCAATTAAGTGACAAGTTATAGAACATGGACACAAATTAAAATGCTCTATGTAGTAATATTTTATTATTTTCATTAATAAACAATATATTAAAACACTTAATTTTGCATTATTGCATATACCCTAATTGTTTTCACCCCCCCCCCCCTCCCAAGAGATTACTTGTGCCCCTCCCCTCTGGAGACACGCTCAACACTTTAGGAAATGCTGCCTTTACATTCCAGTGTGTCAGGGGCTGATTTTTTATTTTTTTTTGCATCTTATCAGATAAAAATATCTTATTTTTTAAATAGGGTCATGTTTCTATATGAGCATGTGTTTAATAATCACTTATAAAATACTAATGCACAAAATTTATATTCTATGAGAGCAAACCAGTAAAGAAACTTAAGTTACATGTCTGTGAATTAACCAAGTTCTGCCCATTCTACTAGTTAGTCTTTAAGGTGTTATATACTTGGTCAATTAGAATAGACATAAATATTATGTTTGTATAACTGTTTGTAAAATAATGATATGCATTTTTTAAGCTGTGTAACTGCAGCAACGAAGGATCTGTTAGACAAACTCCAGCTTGTGATGAAAAAACAGGAAAATGCACATGTTTGGAAGAGTATGAAGGCCGTCGGTGTGATCACTGTCGACATGGTTACTACAGTTTTCCTAGGTGCCAGGCTTGTGGTTGTCTTACTGATGGAACTGTGTCTGCAGAATGTATGTCAGATGGCCTGTGTCAGTGTGATGAGGCTGGACAGTGCCCATGTAGGGTAAGTGTTTTTTTTTGTTCTAAAGAACTAGTCCTGGATCAGCCGATGATGAACTGTTATTTAGACTTCTGAGATTCTTCTTTATCTATCTAAGAGGAGCATAATATTAGAATTTCCTATAAACAGTGGTTAATGATGAAAAATATGTTAGTGTTATATAGCTGTTTGAATTTCTTATTTACTCTGAATTGTTATCATTCATGAATTCAAGGAAAAGAAAAATTTGTTCTATAATTGATAATATATATAAAATTGGATCATATTTCTGTGGTATGTAAAAACTGTGTAGTTTACTCTCCTCTATTGTTTAAATCATTTCTATAAAAATCTTTAATTTTATTGGGATCATGTGAAAACTTCAGCCTGAGGTGTTACTTTTTGTAGCTTGACTGGTCAAAGGACTTGTCTAACTTATCTACTGTTTCATGGGACAGTTCTACCATGTTCTACTTGACCTTGTGTTTGGATAAGACCTTTGCAGATGAAAAACTGATACTTCTGCATTCTTGTGTTCATTTTATGACTGGTCAGCTACACAGAGAATGTTTATTATGAATGTATTTTTGGTACTTTCATATCAATTTACTCCAACTTCTGAGGAACATTGTTCATGTGTGTTTGAGAGTGCAAGACTCATTGACAAAGTCCAGTCCTTTTTCATCTATATTTTGTTCTAACTGCTGATGGTGTGCATTTTATTTCAACTTCATTTTCAAGTGAAGTTTGTTGTAATTTGTCTTTACATTTAAATACAATTTCGTCTTTTTTACCCATTTCCATTTATTTTTATTTACAATAGTCTACTACAAAAATTTCAGTCAGTTGCTTCTCCACTTTTTTTTTTAATAAAGTGTTTCATTTTATTCACATTTCTATATCATGTCTTGTCTTCTTCATCTGTAACAAATTGTTATGCCTGTCCTTCCACCTATTAAATCCATGAAATTCTAGTATTTGTGAAGCTTAAGTGACAATGCACTAGGTTTATCCTTGGATTATCACTTTATTAAACATTTTTTTGACTAATTTTTCTTTGAATTTGAGGATAATACCATGGGAAGAAAATGTGATCAGTGTAGAGATGGAACATTTGGTTTGCATCAGAAACATCCTGAGGGATGCATCGAATGTTTCTGTTTTGGACGAACTAAAAATTGCAAGCAAGCAGAAGCTACGTGGTCAAAGGTATGAAATCATCACAACTATATAGCATGAGCATGATGACTGTATAACTTTTTATTCAGTATTTAAATGTTCCATTCTAACACAAACCCTTTTAAAACAAGTCTGTTTAAAGGAAGTGTTTGAAATAATAGATATATTTCCTAGTGCTCTGGTTGTAATGTCTTAAAGTTTGGTATTTATTGTTAAAATTAACTTCCTAGTATTAAGATTCTCATTGAAGGAAGAAAAACATTTGTGAATAAAGTAGTCACGTTTAGTCATGTTCTTGATGGAAATGCCACTGTTGGGAAGTTACCCAAAACTAATTAGTTATTAAGGGTATTCCCTTGTAGTCCTTTACACAATAAACATACCAGTACTGAAAGGATACTTTTAACTCATTTGTTGATAATTTTAGTTTTATTCTTATTTTTCATTAGTAGTTAAGAGATACAGTGCTCAGAATCTATATTTAACTTACTTTGAATAAAGTTAGTCCTTTATTTATACCTTTAATCAAAGTACTGTTACTAAAACTAATTTTAACTATATAAATTTTATTCCTTTACCTACCTTCTGTTTCAGATGTTAAGATTTGAATGGTGTTGCACATTAGTGCATTTGAATTTACTAAATACCAAATTTTACTTATTAAAAAAAATTAAAGTTTATTTTAATAACATAATACATACCAGCTAAGCATACTGGATTTTTTATGTATTTATGTAAATATCTAAACAGGTTGTTCATAAAATATTGATTTGTTTTTTTTTTAAATAAAAAAGTTAGTGATTGTTACTTTTCAGTGTTTATGTATAGTAGTGTAATTTGTATGTTTGTCTTACCTTGAACATGGATTTCCATATAGCAACAATATTAAATTTAGATAAAATATATTCTTATTAAACATTATTTTATTCTTTCCATTTGATGGAAATGTTGTTCTAAAGTTATTTTTTAAATAAGTTACATAAGATCATACAGATTTTAATGAAACTGCCAGTAAAATGACTTGTGTTTAGGTATGTGTTACTCACAGTTTTCTTTCATTTATATTTTTTTTATATTTTCATAACAATTAGATAACAGTGAATTCTAGACAAGCAACATTAACTCTAAGAGGAGACACTCATCTTTCTAAGCTTCAGAGATTTGTTCTCATCCCCAACAGAGTAGGAGATGTTACTTTAGGTATAAAACATATTCCTGATAAACCAATTTATTGGAACCTACCAGACAAGTTCTTAGGAGACAAGGTAAGAAAGTTTTCTGGAGGATCTTCAAAGTGCATTGTTTGCTTGCTTTGGACAAACTCTATAGAAAGGGACAATTTTTTCTCTTGCCTTTTTAAAAAATACTAGGCTTAACTGGTAGTGGTATAATCCTTAGAATTTCATTAATAAAAAAAAAGATTTCTTCCAGAGTTTTAAGCTAAACTATGGATCTTTTGGCTCATTACTGACAATGAAAATATATTTTTTGCATTTTTTGAAAGTGTTTGAAGCTTTATTTAACATTTTCAATGGATTCTTCAGAGTTGAGCATTTTATAGTTTTCCGAAACATATTTGAAGAATAGCTTATAAAAAGAAAAAAAAATCATGATAAAACTTGCATATTCATAGTTTTTGAATAAGGTATAAAAGCCATTTTGGTCATTTAGTCTTTCATTATCACACATTTTCTATATAATAAATATTACAATTAGTATCACTTAAGATTCACAGTTTGGACAGTTTTTATAAAAAACCTCGTACGTCACATGTATGCTGTGAGTGTAGAAGGTAATTTATTGTTATTAATGTCTTTTTGTATATTTTGATGATTATTGGTTCATCAGCTTGAATTTTTAATTGGTGTTGATAACAATTCATTAGTGTATTAAAATTCTATATATATATATTTTTATATATATATTGGTGTACTTTGGTGACAGATTTTCTTGTAGGCAGATTTTGTTAAACAAGACTGATGTCTGTAGGTTTACTTTCTTCTTAGAATTCTTCTCAAGAAGTCGATAAGCCGTCTTAACGTTGTTAGAACAACGGGTAAGAGTTGTAGTAGTGCATCCATTATCAAGGCTGAATGTTGTGTGAATTGTGATTACTGTTGGTGGATATTTATAGGTGTGGGTAAGCAGGTGGTGGTATCTAGCTCGTGGAAGGCGTTAATTGGAGTGGCTTGGGGGTTTCTCGCTGTTCCTGTTGATTGTTTGATGATTATGGGAGTTTGCTGTAGGATTTTTATTGCTTCGTGTATTTGAAGAGTTGTGAAGTCGTTAAATCGGCGATTTACTTTGGTGTTTTGTACTAGGTCCTGACAGTTAAGGCCTAAATAATATAAGATGTTTTTATGATCACTCAGGTTTCTTAATTTTAATCTTTCGCCAGCTTTCGGCGTTTAACCCGTAATTTTTAACATATCTCTGGTTTTAAATCCAAAATGAACAACTTAAAAGAAATTGGGTTGGGGGGATCTGCAGTTTATATCATAG